GCGACCAGGACACGGAGTCAGCCACCACAGCCCACCTGGGGACGGTCGCAAAAAGACTCCCACAACTGCTTCAGAATGTGTCAAGAATAATGTGGAACATGTGCTAAAAGCAAGGGGTGTATCTTGAGGGGGATCGATAGACATGTGCTTTTACTGTAATAACTTTACAAAATTAAACATTCACTGTATCACAACTCAGACAACAGCATTGAGCAGATCCAGTTTTTCACACTTTGAGAGCAGTAGATCCCAGTGACTTCCCCCAACTTCTAGAACTTTCTACGTCATTGTCACTGTTGAATTGTCTCCTCGCTTCTATCATCACTGCTTTCCAAGTTGGTTTCTGTGTGTCCAGCTCAGGTCTCAGGTGCACCCATTTTGGACTCAGTCTCTCTAAAGTGGCAAGTATGCAATGTTTTATGTTTCATCCAAGTTTTAGAATTAAGACATCACCACACATACAACACCTTGAACATTTACCTTGTACAGTCTAAGTGACGTCTCTGTTCTTCCTCAAAGCATTTTACATTATCCCAGTTCATGCAAATAGGTTTCTATCTTAATTCATTCTCTCTCGACTTCACCTTCTCAGGACCAGTTACCCACTGTGGTACGAAGCCCTGCTCTTTGACTATATTCACCATCAAGCCATCTTTTCCCCCTTCATTTACCAGTGCTTTCCCAAGCAATTTATCATTGACACAGGAGAGAGACTGTTCAGCATATATCCATAAGCAAGCTCTTTCCCAAATCTTGTGCCATCTCAAATTTAAAATATAAAGGCCATAATTAAAGCTCAACTCTTTTTATTTATTATCATATCCAGGCATGTCCTTACCAGAATTTAAACTTAAGGAAAATTTTCAAGACATTTTTCTTCCCATATATTTGTTCTAGCAGATTCAGTTAGGCTGCATAAAGTGAAAATTTAGCATTTAAAAAATTCTTTTTGCCAACTCCACATGATGGATGGCATCATTATGTAGTATAAACATATACTAATATAATGACAATTTTAAAAATAGAAATTTAGTATTTATTTAAGATGCTATATGTCATTCAATATACCATGTTGGTGCCAGAAATGAGTTAATAATTTTGAGTTAAGTGCCTTGCTTTTAAAGATTCCAAATAGGTAGAGAGGAATATACAAATATAATTATGTATAGTTATAAATATTTTAGATAAATAGAACTAACAGTATAAATTAATAATAGGATAAAATAGCATTTAATAAATGCCAGCACTACTGTGGCTTTGAGGATAGGAAAGAAAAGCTAAAACAAGGTGGTATATTTATCAGTGCATAATAACTGTACTAAAAGTGTTCAATGTATTTTAATGACATGTTGGAGCCTCTTCCCTGTTTATTGAATATTTCTGTCACTACCTTGTAGGCATAGATATCTTGTTCTCTGGGAACACCACCCCATTATTTTAAGAAGAATTTTCATAGACCTTGCTGAAGTTCTCTATCAGCATAAATCTACCAAATCTTTTAGAAATAAAATTTAATTTTCACCTTTTTTTTGTCATGCTCAGATCTGTTAAAAATTCAAAATTACTTGTGTGATAATACTTACTTAGCATTTTTTTTCTCAGCCTGAAGACAACCCAGATGATATGTTTAATTCATCGCTAAATTCAGAACCAAAACCTAGAGTAGGTAACATTTAAAATAATTATTACACTCTTGACTTCTGAGGCGGAGGCCCATAGCTGTGGGTCAGGCGGGCCGCGGTACAGGCAATGGCTTTGCAGAGCTGAGGGCGTGGATTCTGCCTGCCCTGGAGTCGCTTGGGCCTGAGGCAGGGTGAGTTGGTCACCGGTTGGCACTGTTCATATGGAAGTTAGCTCTGTCTTCCTTTCCTGGGCCAAAAGCATAAACTCAATATGTGTGATCAGTTATTTACTCATATGACTATCACAAAAATATACAAATGCTGAAAATCCTAATGATACTAACAATTAGTATTATTTCCAAAAAATAAACCATGGAAATACCTCGCTTAATACATATGAAGTGAACATGATTTAGAATTATTCTTTTTTTTTTTTTTTTTTGAGACTGGGTCTTGCTACATAACTCAGGCTGGCCTTGAACTTAGCATGACCCTCCTACCTCAGCCTCCTGAGTACTTGGGTCACAAATGTTTACCACTGACCTCAACTTGTTCACATTATATGATTTCAAATGTAATAAAAATGTACAGAAAAACACCAGAATATTTCAATAATATGATCTGCATAGATAGTTGCATTATGTCTAGCATATTTCACTTCTTTTTTGTTTTCTACATGCTTCTCTTTTCCTCTTTGTAAGAAAAAGGATACCATTTTCAATTAATTGATGACTGGTGTGAGACACAGCCTTTCAACATACTTAGCTCTAAATACGTTAATGGAAATACTGTTTTCCCTGATGCTCTGCAAACCTCCATTCCCAGCAATCAGAAGGCTGAGACAGGAGGACTCCCAGGTTAGAGGCTATCCTCGTCTACATAATAGGTGATACCGTTTGCTCCATGTGCCATTTTGAATTAAAAAAAAAAAAGCTTTCTACCCTCTAATTGAACCCCTTCATTCTTGCTTCTGTCTTCTAATTTCCTAGCTTCATGTGCTTCAGCTTCTCCACCATGTTTATGTGGCTATCCTGTCCTCAGTTCTCCTGGTTTTTCTCAAGTGCTCATGTTGTCCCATTGCCAAGTATTGGTTATCTCCAGAACTTTATAGTTTTTCCCTTCACCTTCTCTGTAGGCGGGCCATCCAAGGTTGCTGTTTTCAGTATGGCCCATGTCCTCAAGGCTAGAATTTGTGTGTATCTTCTAAATCTCTCCTACATACCAATATTTTAAATTCAAGTATATAATAGATATACCCAAGTTGATATATGCTAGTTTTCTCAAACAGGAAATGACTGAGCAACTTCTTAACTCTTAAGTCTTAAAGTCTTAACGCTTTTCTCCAGCCCAAACTATCTTTTGTTAGTGTCCTCCAGCTTCATAATTGAGGCTTCATATACCCCAGCTTCAGATATTGATTTATTCAATGTTTCTAAAGTCATTCTTGATTTATCTCTACCTCATGGTCTTCCCATTCTGTTTTAAATTTGGCTCTTCATGTGCCGGCTCCTTTCAGTATTCAGTTGTCAATCTTAGCATCACCTTCTCAACCTCCTTCATTGTTCACAGAAAGTACTGTTGTTACCTAATCTGCTCTTTACAGATCACCCTATTTATTCCAGAATATTTTTCTCCCTTGAGTTAACTTATTGTTATTTGGTGCATAAAACAAAGGCAGTGATTTTTTTTTTCTGTCTTGTTTACTCCACCTCTGAAAGGGACATATAAATTATGAAATATTCAATATATATTTGATGAGTGACTGAAAAGTTAGACAGCTAACCTGTTGATTCAAAGCCAAGGTCCAGGTAAAATGCTGTATGAATCTGCAAAAGGTAGTGATGCCTTAGTTCACTCAGGTGGCTATAATAAAACACCATAAACAGGATAGCTTATAAGCAGCAGAAATTGATTTCTCATAGTTCTGAGTCTGGAAAGTTCAAGGCCATGTGTTCAGCTGTGTGTTCGAATGGTGGAAAAGGCACTGAAGCTCTTTCAGCCTCCTTTGAAAGGTCATGGACCCTATTTATGAGGACCCTGACAACCTCCTACTATTACACAGAGTACGTTATGTTTGGAAAAAACCCAAATATCCAGAACACAGCATGTGTGCTCATGCCCAGGAATGGTTGTATAAACTCTCCGGGATTCAGAAGACAGCTTCTATGAATTTGGTCCTCACACCTTGAACTACTTAGGTTCAAGAACGGAAACAGAACAGTATGGGACAGGGCCAAGCACCTGGATCGGAGTCTGAGAAATCAGATTCCCTATTTTACCACTTGCTCACTGTGGTCCCCTGAATGAGGGTTTCTACTCACTTGACTGCTGTATTTTTTGACATTGCTTAGGGAAATAATCCCTTCAAACAACCCAGTTTGTCCCAAAAGTTAGCCCAACGTAACCTATGGTTATGTGACAGATGGGGCCCAAGAGGAGAGGCTGGGATTCACCTTCTACTTGGCAGGGGATCAGTGTACTGGGGATTACAATGCCACTTTGTTCTTACTTCGTTTCTGATTATATAAAACATTTCTAGTTTTATTGATTTTTGCAACATGTAACATTCTTCCCTAAGTAATTTGCATTATTACATGCCTTTTCATATTCAAGTTTCTTCTCATCTATTGATGATTAGTAGTAAAACAGAAGTAAAGGTTATAAAATGTGATATGTTCATAGGAATGCAATAGAAACATACAGAGAAAACGGTATTTCCATTAATGTATTTAGAGCTAAGTATGTTGAAAGGCTGTGTCTCACACCAGTCATCAATTAATTGAAAATGGTATCCTTTTTCTTACAAAGAGGAAAAGAGAAGCATGTAGAAAATAAAAAAGAAGTGAAATATGCAACTATCTATGCAGATCATATTATTGAAATATTCTGGTGTTTTTCTGTACATTTTTATTACATTTGAAATCATATAATGTGAACAAGCTAAGGTCAGTGGTAAACATTTGTGACCCAAGTACTCAAGAGGCTGAGGCAGGAGGGTCATGCTGAGTTCAAGGCCAGCCTGGGCTACACAGTGACTTCAAGGCCAGCCTGAGTTACGCAGCAAGAAAGACCTAGTCTCAAAAAAAAAAAAAAAAAAAAAAAAAGAACAATTCTATATCATTTTCACTTAATATATATTAAGTGAGATATTTCCATGGTTTATTTTTTGGAAATAATACTAATTGTTAGTATCATTAGGTTTTTCAGCATTTGTATATTTTTGTGACAGTCATATGAGTAAATTACTCATCACACCTATTGAGTTTATGCTTTTGGCCCAGGAAAGGAAGACAGAGCTAACTTCCATAAGAACAGTGCCATCCGGTAACCAACTCACCCTGCCTCAAGCCCAAGCGACTCCAGGGCAGGTGCAGCCCCATCCGTTGGTGTGGCGGGCAGAAGGGCGTCTGTGAAGGAGAGAACTGAACACTCTTCTAAAAGAGAGCCGAGAACATGAGTCACACCTCAGAGGAAAGTAGAGGACTGCGGAACCTGCCAGAGCAGTAGGGCTGGAGAGAATCTGACTTGGGCCCGCAAGCCCAGCGGGGTTAAGTGCCTTAGTCCTTTTGTCATTGCTGTCATTGACTGCGAAGGACTAGGTCAATTATAAGGAAAAGGGGTTGATTCAACTCACAGGTCACATTTTTTTTTTTTTTTTTTTTTTTTTTTTTTTTTTTTACTAGGGATCGAACTCCGGTTCTTGGGATTGCGAAGCAGGCGGAGGAATCACTGAGCTAAATCCCTGCTCCCCTCACAGGTCACATTTTTCGATGTTGAAAAGTAGAGACGATAAAATACATATGAGAAAACAATCTAGCAGAAATCTTCTTAATACCTGAACTATTTTCTATGGGTCATTTTTAACACTAAGATGAAATCTTGTATTTATATTTTGAGGCATTTGAAGGTGTCAGACTATTTTACTCTATTTTTATCTTAATTTAAAGTGATCATGGAGAAAACTGAGTATTCACATAAGAATATATTGATTTCTTAATGGCTTCTCTATTAGATTCACAGAATTATTGACCTCTTTTAAAACTTGATTTCAGGCCTAATATTAGTATAAGATGTCAGATAGCATTAGCTAAGAAAAAAAGAAGCACAGAATGAACAGATTTATACTGTTAGCTGAAGTGAATAGGCAATTACATCAATTTTTTTATTTCATGAGGAAAATAGAAAGGTATTATCTACAGTAAAAGGAAGTAAGAATGTATTATTTTTCACAAATAAATGAATCAAAGGGCTCTTTTTATTCCTATGAAATCTATAGCAAGAGAAGTATCAAATATTTTATATTTATATTTAAATATTTATATTTTTAAAATTTTAAGAAATTTCCAAAATGGATACATTTTGAGGATATACTCCTAAGTGAAATAAATAAGTCACACTTGTGTAAATACTGAATAGTTTCTCTGGTGTGAAAAATTATAATAGAAGGTGTAGGGAGTGGGAAGGGTAGGAGAAAGGGAATAAGGGAAAAGAAAAAATATATGAGAAAATGAAAAAAATGGAAATAAAGTGTTTGTAAATTGGGAGGGGAGGAGAAGGTGAAGGGAAGGAATGGACAAGGGGATAAAATGAGAACCAAGACCTGTCATGTAGAGGTACAAGATCCCAGTAATGAATGTAACTGTTCTGTGTACCTAGAATGTATCAATAAACTTAATAAAAAGAAAAAAAAAGAAGTTTCCACATATGAAATTTTTCATGTGTAATCTTTAATTGTACTGCTCACATCTGCATCACATATATTAAACTTTAACTATGAATTCTGTAGTATGAATTTGGAAGAATGTTTAAAATAATTTTCTAGCTTTCCTGGAATAAGTTGTCTAATATTAGCATATGTAAGAAAAATAATGACCAGGCCATGACAAATGGCTATTCTGAGTTAGTTTCTCATCTTCACGTGTGACTCTGGTGACCCACATTTTGGCATTTCCAATATCTGCAGCTCTGAGTTTTCTTTGTTTTGCCTGTAGATCTCTCACACGATCACTCTCACAGGAAGGCCAAAAATACATGAGAGACCTGGCACCTGGGAACCATGTAAAGTGTTGTATTCCTGCACTTTAAAAAGTTAAGAAAATTTCAGTTGAATTTGTATATGAACTTTCCAAATTCCTGAGATAGCTCAATTTTAAATATCAAACTATCAGCCTACTTTATACGTTGTCCATGCTCGAAGGTTGGAATCAAAGCCCTGTATCAGGAGTTTGAATTCCACATCACCCTGTCAAATGGTTGTTGCCTTCAACTATAAAAGTGCTTGCAGTCTTGGTTGTGCCATGCCCGAGTTTAAGTGACTTTTCATCCATTCAATGAGAAGGAGCCTTCTGTTGGAAGGAGATTGTATTGTCCCAAGGCAAATCAGTAAGGTCACTTTGGGGGCTGTCAGTTTGGGAAAGAGTCCCTTCCAGTTCATCCTCTCATTGGCATCTCTTATGAAAAATCTATCCCCTGTGATTGCTTGCTTTTTCTCTGAGCATGTGTGTATGTATTGTGTATATGTACTGGAAGCTGTTTGATTTTCAAATGATAGCTATAATTAAATTGGACTATTAAGGAAATATCTTACTTTAAATGAAATGCATTGAAATCCACTTTGAATTAAGTAGAAATTTCTTGAAAATGATTGATTTCAAAGATTTTATGTTGTGATGAAAGCAATACATTTTTCTTAATAAGTTTGGAGTAAGTCATTAATAAAATGCCTTTTTCTTCACATTAGGCTATTCTTTCTGAGGAAAAATAGCTCATATTGTTATGACGTCAATTTGCATCAAGACAACATCTATTATGCTTGATTCCTCATTGCAATGAGTTTTTAAATACTGACATAGTTGTTTAGAAATCAATGGTTCTGTGTATGTGGATGCAAAAAGACTTGTAAATTCTTAAGTGTAAGGTTATTCAGATATGAAGTGACACTGAAGTCAAAAGTACAGCAGTTGTTGGAGATTCATTAGGAACCATAATTTACCAGTACTGATGGCTCTTTAAATATAGCCTATTTGTATGTAGGCAGTTTTGATTAAAATGTAATTTTAACAAGCAGCCATACGATGTGGTCATCATACATGCATTTATAAGACATTCAAGGGAAACAAAATCTCCATCTCATTCCCAGATGTCCTTGCTGTTCCTCAAAGACAGATTATTCTTCTAAGCTAGCAAGACTTCTTTAAATGAACATTAGAATTAAATGTTCCTCGCAATAAAAGTGCTACTTTCAGCTTTCAATGTAGGGTTTTGTCCTTGAAGTGTTGGCCTGGGTTATTAAATCATAACCAAGCTTAAGAGTGAGGAAAACAGTTCATGGCATTACTGAGCTCCCCCTCTGTTGTTTTTGTCATGTTTGATTGCTACAAATAAATGTGTTATTCATAAAATCATTTTATTACACAAACAAAAACTGGTATGATCCTTGGTGACTTACCATTCGTAGATTTGAACTGTTTGGCTGCTGGCTTTGTGACAAAGTACTTATTGTTACATTTGTGATGAGATGTCAGAATCTCCTTTAGCAATCATGTGAAATTTTGGCTTTTGTTTCTCAAGCTGACAAGTAATTCCGATCACTGGATTTTAATGTTATGTGCAAAATTACATTGTATCTTAACTTGCTTAAACCTGCAAAGCCTGCATTTCCAAATGCATTCTGAATTATTGGGAATTAAAAACTCAGCATATCTTCTTTTGGGAATTTCCACTCCACCCATAACAGAGAATATAGCTTTGGTTTTTAGCATTATTTTCAGAAGTGAAATATCCTTATTTAGTCATATAGAACATACAGGAGAGATTTTTTTCATTTATTGGTTTTATTTAATAACAGACTGGTGTCCTCAGTTTGCACTATTGCTATTCCTTTTCTGCCACATTATTTAATATATAGCTTGGAAAATCGTAAGAATTCCAGTTATTTTCACTAAATATATCATTTGATGTTTAATTTCAAGCAAAGTATATGTCATGAAATCAACAAAGCATCACCTACTCACTCTTTTCCTGGGTACACTGGCATTTAAACAGCACAAGCAATCAAGAACAGTCAGACTCTGTGATTGCTTTCCACATCAGTTTATGTATACTTCAAACTCTCACTTTTTAAAGTATGTTTTATCCTTAGCCATTTCACTGCTGTCTTCTGTTCTTCTATTTACCACGTTCCTAAGAGCTTTGAACTGTGTCAATCCATCCCAGGAAACAACAAAACGATTTCACTTCACAATGCCATCTGTTTATCAAAGCCTGGGAGTATTGTTTTTGTTTCCATTGGTCTACCCCTGCTTCACAGATATCTGAATATGTTTTGCTGTTACAGATGAGTACCTGCACAGAGAGTGATGTTTTCACACACCATAAAAGTCATTTTGCTAGCAAGTGTCATTGATTTACTCCTAGCAATATAGGATTCCTTGATTAAGAGTTTGACAAATCCCCATTGAAGCTGCATAATAAATCAATCTTTTACTGGAAAAGCCCGAGAGGGGGTAAGTGAAGATGCTGTACAGTAATACCTGGGGGAGAGTTACTAACCTCTGTTCTCTGGTGATCAATCACCTTGGCTGGGCCGTGCTGACAATGTCTGGGGGGTCATCTGGTTAATGAGACAGCACTGGAAAGGTCCTTCCCAGGATTGCACTGTACCAGTTAGGAATTAACACCCATATTAGACACTAAGAACCATGTGCTGCTTTTAAAAAGAAAATTCTATGGAACACATCCAGAGCAGATTGATTATTATAAATGGATTGTGTAAAAGCAATTAAGGAAAATTTGCAATTGCTATTCGGGTTCCTCCACGATGAATTAAAACAAATTGATATAAAGTTTGTTTTTCTCCTCTAGAATCTTTCTTGAATATGCATTTTTTATTGTACCACAGGATAGAAAAATAATAAGAGCGATTATGTATTTTTTAAAGTGGATCAGTACCAGAAATATTAATGTTTGGGAATATAGGTATTATTTCCTACATCATGGTGCTATCCAGAACATAGCTATTTGGGAATTATCATCTCAGGAGTATCTACAATTCATAAATAAGAAAAGTGAACATAAAAATTTAAAAAACTCATCTTGTACAGTTCTTTCTCTTTTTTTCAGGACTCTTCATTATGATTAGCAGCCCCAAAGAAAAATTGAACGTAGCTCCTTTTTTCTGAGGAAATAAAAGTGGAGAAGGCATTGTGCCCAGTACACATTCAGATTTTGTGTTTAATCTCTGGCAAATACAGCTGATTATCTCACAATTTCTCAGATATAAAAATAATGGGCAGCAATTATCTAATGTTCAGCTACCAGAGATTAAACATGCAAGATCTGGTTTTTTAAAAGTTTGTTTTCATCACACAAATTTTAAATGATTCAAGTATTCAGGGTTGGTTATTCTAAAAAGACAGTAGGAAAAATTTACATTTTTTTCAGTGAGCCATACTGAGTTTATTTGTATTCTCAACTATGAAGGACAGACAATTGGAGAGGGGAAATTTGAGTTTTTCATTGTATACCTAGCTAACATTTATAACTCATACAATACTATTTACAATTTATTATGATGATTATTTACAAAACTTAGTCATACAGTGAGTGAGCTACATACTGAGGTTTGGTGATGTCTGCCCTTCCTTCTCCTACTCCCGCTGCCCCTTCCCCTCTTTTTTATCCTGTCCCCTTTTAAGCCCTAATAGTCCCTTCTCTCTCTTCTACTTTTGGCTCTTTGAGGCATCTTCTTTTTAAGTTTCCATACATGAGAGAAAATGTGCACTACTTGTCATTTGGGTCTGGCTTATTTCAACTGCTATCTTCCAAACACCATTTTTACCTGATATCATCTGTTTATCTGAGACAGGTAGGTATAAGTACATGTTCTATATGAATCTATATTTTTAGATAAGTGATAGCCTATGCAAAATTTGAGCAACAATAGACTTTTATAGCTTTTAATGTATAAGTTTGATGTTATTGTCTGGTTGCCTAGTTTTCTTTCTTCTCAAAGGACTTAGATGCCAGTCTAATTAAGTTATTTCTTGTACTGTATGTATCTGCTTATAAATCTAACTGTCCTCTCATAATTTATTTGAAAGTATCAACTTTATTGTATGCATTTAAAAAAATAGATTTGTAATAATCTTAATCCATATATGATAGTATTTAGTTCATATTAAAATGACATAAAATATAACAATTCATGGTCCTGGAAAAATTTACTGTTTTCAAAATAATTTTAAAGGTGCTTTTTTGTATGGTTTAGGGTCAGTGTCCCCTGAAGTCTCATGCTTTTGCACATTCACCTTCTGAGGAGTCAGCGCTGCTTGGAGAGGAACTGGTGGGGGCGCTCACCTGAATGGGCTCCTCCCTCTCTGCTCCCCGGCTGCCCTTACCGGAGCACCTTTCCTCTTCCAGGCCCTCCACTGTGCGTTTCTGCCTTGCAGCCAGCTGACCATGAAATGAAACCTAGTCAAAATAAACCTCTCTGACTTTAACTAGTGGTGTTGGGGATCTTGTCCCGGCGGAGGGAAAGTGACCAATGGCCAGTGGTGCCTCGGTTCGCGAACTTATTTCAGTCCAGATTCTGGGGATTCTCATACTTTCGTGTTGGTCACCTGATGTGGCGTTCACAAATGGGAGCAAAATTGTGCCTAATGCTATTGTTTGAGAACTGAACGAATAGAAGTGTTGGTGATCTGAGGGTTTACTGTACTTGTGTCAATGACATTGTTTACTTATAACCTAAGTGTCACTAATGAACCTTCTTTTGTCCAAGCTCGATAAGCTTCTCACAGGCACATTTTGAAAGTTAGTTATTTATTTGTCGATAGAGTGAATTGTATTTATTGACCTTGCTGTTTTTTATGTGCTTACTTAAAAAATCTGTGCACATTGTTTCACCCAAAACTGATTTACTAATCTTGTGCTCCCTGAACTGTTTTTTTTTTCCAAAAATTATTTGCACCAATATCTATTGCACAGTGTCTTCTGCGCGATGATCTTGCCACCCACACATTAGTGGCAGACTGCAACATGTCTGGCCTTCTCTGCTCGCTTATTGTTGACAGAATGCAGTGAAAGTCATGCTGCACACATTCCAAGATAGACCAGCAGAAGACTTGCGCTTCCTTTTCCCTAGGTCCCTTCTCACTTTACCTTCTGGACATTCTCTTTTTGGACAATCCCTGGAACCCAGCTACCATGCTTTGAGTAACCTAGTCATGTGGAAGTATACAATTTCTTACTTTGTGCATCTCTAAGAAATTCCTGAGGTTGGGTAATTTGTAAAGAAAAAGAAATTTATTTGTCACTGTTCTGGAGACTGGGAGTCCAAGACTAAAGCATCGACAGGTGCACTATCTGGGGACCATCCTGCCTTATCCTCCAAGGTGGTGTCTTGCTGCATCTTCCAGAGACAAAGAAAGCTGTGCCCTCACATGGCAGAGGGAATGGAAGAGCACAAAGGAGCTGAACTCTCTCAGTTTTAATCCTTTCTCAGGGCCTCCTCTCATCACCTGAACGCTCCTCCAAGGGCCCTACCTCACTATACCATTGCATGGAGAATAAGTTTCCAGCACATGGGTACTGAAGGTACAGTCAGACAGTAGCTTGTGGGGTTTGCAGTTGTCAGCTGAGCTGACCTCTTTGTTATGCCCGCACAGGGCCCAGGTCTCAATGAGGAAGCCTCTCACCTTACTGGCCCCCAGTTACCTGGTGTTTCTAGCCTTTTCAGTCTTTCCAGGTAAAGTCCCCACCCTCTTGGAGCAGAAATGAACCAGTGCACTGAATCTTGCAGGAGCTGTGAGCACAGAATCAATTCTTCTGTTACAGCATTAAGTTTAGTTGGTTTGTTACACATCATCAAAGAACTAGAATTCTTGCTCAGCAAATAAATAACCTGTAGTTTCAGATATACGTATGTAAAATTTAATTTAATATTTATTATTATTATAATTAATGTGTTAAAATTAAATTTCATGTATGAAAAATAAAATGTCAGTTAAATAATACTGCAAAATACTTGTAGAATGATACCAAGAAGTGGCAAACACCCTGCCACATAATCAGAATCATATTAAACAAAATAAATCATACTTAAATGAACTGATTTTCTTGTAAAGAGATTCAGGTTCATTCTTTGTGATAAAAACTACTAATATATAATATGAGCTCAAGTAATTTAAATCTTTAAATCTTCATAAATGATTGAAGTAATAAGCAGTGTGTTGTTATATTCCAAATAGTGACTTTAAATGTAAATGGGCTGTTTTGATTTTCTATATTTACTGTATTGCGCATTTGCCTAGCTACATAATGATCAAAGTACCAAATGAATTACTGAAATTTCTCCAAGAAAGAAAGAAAATTTTTCTTGCACCATGCTTCAGCTGCATTTCCTTTAATTCAGAAAAGGTTGGAGTAACTTTTATTTTAAAATGTGGATATTATGCATTGATTATGATACTTCTGATGCTATCATTTTTTTATTCCAAATACATATAAATCTTGGCAGAGAGCAGTAACTATACTAAGCAACACAGTGCAGCTTAATCGTCGAGCATCTTTCCCAACCTTTACTTAACACTTTTGATTAGCAGGTACATGTTGTAGCCCTACTGTCCTACGATACTGTACTTTTACAGCTTTGTTTTTGTAGAGGAGGAGATAGAGGAACCCTTTTCCTCAGCTTACGGACATGGCACATATTGGAGCTGGGATTTAAATCACGCATCTGACTGCGGAGGTAAAGTTCTTAAACTCCATACTGTTCAGAGAGATAGAAACAGCTTTGAAGTCAGGTGCAACTTCATGGTCCTCCCACTTAAAATGAATTAAGAGAATTTGCAGGTTCTTTTGAAACCATTGGAGCTTTAATGCTATTTTATACCATAAATTTCAACAGTCAAACTGATTTGTGGTTAAAATATATTGAAGCCAGTAGGTACATGTTTATATAAAAGATATTTAAACACAGAGGGTATCTTTTATGTTTATGACGAGTAAATCTTATTCAAAATAGTGAAGAATAGAGTAGATATTACATCTGCAAAGGACAAAGAAACTCAGGACACAGATGACACCAGCCCAGCTTCTATGGGAGGGACAGCTGTGCTTCGAAAACATAGATCTTTGGTCCATGTAACGCCATAACCTGCCTGGCGAGCAGCCATTCAAAGCTGTGAGTGAATGCACCTGAACTCCTTTCTGGCTTCCCCTGTGTGCCCTTCCCCCTCCTCCTCACAGCTCCAACAATTGCTGCTTTTTCAACATGGGAAATTTTGATGAAAGGGTTTAAAACAATTGCAGTCTCTTACGAGGACTTCTCTACATCTTTTCATTGACAATGCTAACAGCAGTTCTTTACAGTTATGTCTTTAATAGACAGTATAAATGCTATATTAAAATGTCCATTTTTGCTATTAATTTTTTTAAACCTTAATTTGCAGCTATTCCTGGAACTTTAGAGAAAAGGAAATGACTAATATCATTAAAGCAAAGACCTATCTTAAAACTAATTAAATGCAACCAAAGTATGAATACCATTATTATCGTCATTCCATCTGTTTGAAGATTTTAAAAAATTTATTTGATGATTACATATTGTTCTCTTTATATATCTCTTAGCCCTCCCTAAAGTTCTTCATCTTATTCTGTCCTCCTTCTACACCTCTAACCCTCAATTTAGCAAAAATCTCTCTTAGAAGTAAAGAAAAGTCAGTAAGACTTGACTAAATTATTTGAGTAATGCTTTCATTTCTAGAAGTTGGAACTGACCCCTGAATTTATTAACTATCTCAAACCTCCAGAAATAACATGTCTAGCTAGCAGTGTAGGATTTGATTCAAGCTTAGTTAAGTAATTGCTTACTCCTTTATTTCTGATCTTCCTTTCCTTTTCTGTTGAGTGCTCATGAGAGATGAAATCATTTAACTTTAATTTTCTTCAAGATTTCTATAATCTGGTGTGATATTCTTGGAGTACCACCTACATGTACTTCAATTATAAATAACTTAAATTTCTCTCTCTCTCTCTCTCTTTCTCTCTCTCTCTCTCTTTACCTTTTTCTTTCATTTTTGACCACTCATGTGTCCCTTTAACATTGTTGTTTTGATCTGGTGTGTACTAAAACAGTAAAGGGTTTGCTGAGTATTTGAGGATGATGATGGCACCATGTCAGGGACAATAATGAAAAGACTTAAATGTTTGTCAGCAGAGGCAGTGTGAGGGGAGATAGATTATGACAAATATGGCCATCTCTGACTTTGACTCCAGAGCACTCTATCTGCCCTGGAAAGGTACCTAGAAGATGAGATTTATGGTTCAGGGGAGAGTTGGAAAAGGACAGAAAGAGATGTATTTGAGAAAACACTGAGCTGAGATGTCACCTTCCTTAACTTTTTGATCTTTTAAGATGAGACCAGTAGACACAGCCCCAGAAATAGAGTGTCTTAGTATTTTGTATAAGGTAATAATGGTATTTCTATGGCTTTGAGGGGAAAAAGCACTGTTCTCAAGTGTTAAAAGTATAAGAATAGTGGTTTATTTCAGCTTTAGAATTATTAGCTGTACTAAAGTTTTAAATGATAGTTTCAAATTTAGTTTTAACTTTTTCCAAAAGGTATTTTCAGAAATTGAGGCTGAAACAGCTGTATAATTCAAAGTCTAAATGTAAATAGTTGAAGAACAACATAAGGTCATATAATAGTAATGGGAAGACAAACGCACTGAAACGAATAGCATTTTGTCCCTCATTTGTATTAAATGACAACAAAATTTGGCTGTAAATTCCTTAAATGTCAAAGCAGAACAAGAAATATAACTAATACAGCATTTTTGTTTCTAAAGTACATACTGTTTTTTGGCTGATGGGACAGGGACACAGTTTTTCCCATGGAGAAGAGCACTCTGAGGACATCTGTGATGACAGGAAGAACTTCCCTGTGATAAAACACAGACAAAGTTCAAAGTACAGCTCAGTGAACCTCAGTGGTGGTCTTTTGTGTATTGCTATTGCAATGAATTTCTCAAATTGTGCTGCTAGCTTTGATTCATTTCAGGCTTCTTAATGTTACCACTTTGTCATACTTTTAGAAATTTGCATTGGTGGAGACCAAAGAGTTCTAAGTGCTGACTCTGTATTGGTTGGTGAGTATGAGGTACGATTGTTCAGACATGTCTTCTGCTTTGGACCCGGTGCTATTGATTTACCTGTTTCTGTCTGTCTCACTTCTGTTTCTTGACCTATGTTGTCTGACCTACAGTCACTTGAGTATGTGTTGAGCCATATTTCTAGTGTAGGTCCCTGTTTCAAATCTGCTTCTGATCTTCGTGGTCCCAGAGTCATAGCTTATGCCTGTAGCCAGCTGCATTTGTGCAAAATCCTGACACTTCTTAATTTCTCTGACATTTGATGATTGCCGAGGTTCAGAAACAGAGAAAAGGAAGTAGAAAAATTTATGTTAAACTGGGTACAGGAGGCAGGTGGAGCTGACCCAACTGTAGTTAACCTAGGAGCCTAAAGGAAGGTGAAAATGTCATGCTAAATTCATATTGATTTCTTCAGAATGAGAATTAGCCCTATTCATATTATAGCACCTCTAAGGGGTGCAGGTAAATTTTCATTCAACTCATATATCTTCTAGAAGTAATTTGAATTCTTCTTGTTTTTAATGAAATTTAGTTGAATCGTGTGAGCTCTTCCAGCTAAATAATGATATATGGTGATAATAAGATATTACTTATAAAGATGAACAACAATAGAAATAAAAGACAACAACAGCAACAAAAAGCCCATACAATGAGGAAGAGATATTAAATATATCTGACAATCCAAATAGTTTTGAAAATAATGATAAAGCAAACCAACTGGCATGACTGATATGAAGAGGCCAGAAGCACATTTTCCAGTTGTGCTAAATTTCCAATTCTTCCAAAGCTATATTTCCTCTGCACGATATTTCACAACACAGAGTAATAACCACTATATGACCACGGTCCGTGATATTTCATTTAAACATTAGTGGAATCTCCTTGTGGGGCATAAGAAGTACATGCACAGTGGGGAACTGGCATGTACACACGTGTATACTTATCTCCTCTTGACGCTCTTTATTTCTCTTTCCCTCTTCCAGTCCCATCTCCCCCCTACCCAACCCCCTTCCGGTCTTCTGATTATCTTTCATTGCCTGTGTCCACTGCACAATGATCAAGTCAGTGTATTTAGGAGCTTTTTCATCACAGTCATCATTTAGTTGTGAAAACATTCCAATGTTTTGTTCTAGATATTCTGTAATATTTATTACCATTTTATGACCTGCAGCCACCTTGCTGTGCAGCAGAATTTGGATTTAATCCTTCTAGACTACGAACTGTAACTTGGTAGCTATTGACTTGTCTCAGTTCTCCCTTTTGTAGGGCAGAAATGATATAACATTGCTTTTATTTACATTCTATACTGCTGCTCCTATAAGTCTTAAAAGAATAGATTTGTGCTTATCTCCTCCCCACATATAAAAAGTTCTTTTCATACTAGTTGATCAATGAGTATTTGCTGAATGAATTTCTACATTTTTCTTCTCTTACTTTTCTTTAGGATTTCAATAGCCTGTAGTAGGTGATACACTCAGTAAAACTTCCCCTTTACCACTTTTCCAAAGTGATCATTTAAAAATATATACTGGACTATGTCTTATTATTAACAAATTATTTTCAATGCATATCTGTTATTCACAGAATAAAGCCTGAATTTCTTTGCATAACATAGCACATCATTCAAGATTTAATTCTTTCCATATCTTTAATCTTGTCTTCACACTCTTTGCCCTTGAATTTATACTGCAGTCCCACATAAATGCAGTTCTGTGATATGATTTTAAACTTCAATTCTTTTATATATTGTGTTATTCTAAAAGGTCTTCTGTATTTGTCAAACTACTATTTATTCTTTATATCTGCCTTCAAACATTGACTCTCATATGTAGTTTTTAATTATTTGAGATTTTAAAAAAATTTTGAAGTCTTCACTCCCACCAACAATGGAGAAGGGTTCCTTTTTCCCCACAGCGTATGTTTATAGCAGCACAGTTTGTAATAGCTAAAACTTGGAAACAGCACATTTGCCCATCAGTTGGAGACTGGATAGAGAAGATGTGGTTTTTCTATAAAATGGAATACTATTCAGCCATAAATAATGAGAAATTAGATTTATTCATAGAAAAATGGATACATTTTGAGGATATACTCCTAAGTGAAATGTTACACATGTGTAAATAATAGTTTCTCTGGTGTGAAAAACTATAATAGTACACAAGATCCCAATGAGATAATTAATAGTGTGAAATAGGAAGAAAAGGGCTAAAGGTGTAGGGAAAGTGGGAAGGGTAGGGGAAAGGGAATAAGGGAAAAGAAAAACAATATGAGAAAATGAAAAAATGGAAATAAAGTGTTTGTAAATGGGGAGGGGGGTGAAGGGAGGTCATGGGGAAAAAATGAGAATCAAGACCTGTCATGTAAAGGTACAAGATCGCAATAATGAATGTAACTGTTGTATACCTAAAATGTAGCAATAAACTCAATTTAAAAATTTTTTTGAAGTCTAGATCTGGCTTTTAATATTTTGCACTGCAATACTGCTTTTCTTTAGGTCTGTTATCCTAAAAAGTATTTAATATCATTAGATCAGAAGGATCTTTAATTTGTTTTTAAATCTTAGATTTTAAACAAATATATACGATGGATTTTATACTTGTTTCCTCCTGTTCATTATTTGTAATTCTTCCTGACATATCTGCTAATATACAGTACAGTATGGTGTACTTGGATTAAATAACCAGTTGACAGGTTTGTGCTTTGACAGCCTTGCTCCTCCCTTTTATCACCTATAGAACATAGAAACTGTTCCTCTCTAGGGTGATGTGGGCAGTATTATCCAATTTCCAAACCCACTGGAGATTCTGTGTCACCTTAATCTACCTCAGTGCTTGCAATTATACGTAAGCCCACTGAACTTACCATATGTCCCTAATATTCTGACATCCAAAGCCTGCTCCTCTGGAGCCACTGCTCTTCCCACAGCTCCATAGTTTCTAGAGATAGTGAAGGATGGTCTTGAAGTGCACCTTTCATATTCAAAATAACAAATCCAGACTGGCCTCCTTCTGGGCCTACCCTTATTCTCCAGCCCTATGGGCAACATCAACACCCCAGGCCCTACTGACTGAAATCACTTACATTAGTTAGCTTACACCCACTTATCCAGCTTACTGTGCTTTGCCTATTCTTTCTCATGAAAATCACAGGAAAGTTCTTGTCCACTTTTCTCTTTATTAGTCTGTAATATCCATAAGTCTGTATCTCATCACTCCATTGTGACACACAGACACGGGGATGCGGGGAGAGACCCCTGACTGCAAGTGCTTTTTATTTGGAGTTGCATTTCCTCTCTATCTACTTCCCTGATGACAAATAAACCCTTGACCACTGTCACCAACACCATCCTATATCCTCTCCTTTGGTATGTCTCATATTTCTAGCTAACTTCACCTAAAATAAAGGTCATTTGATGTATTTAAGCACCACTATTTGCTAGGGATTGTCTTAATTTCAGATGTCAAAAAATAATCAGACATATTTAAAATAAGAATGAAGATGTATTTCCTTGAGCTGTAGGGAAAAGAAATGAAACATGATGCACAGTGGGGGGTAAGGGGCCAGGCATTTCTGAAACACCAGCAGCTGTGTGGGAGCGAGAGGAACAGGAAGCGCAACGGGTGTGAGAGCCACAGACATCTGACAGGAGGAGCTGAGAAGCAGGAGGGACTAGAGTCAGTCGAGTTTCCCTTCTTACACCAACCCCTCCCACTGTTATTGTCTTCTGGGGTGTTTGCAGCTGCTGGGGAAAAATCCATGTGGTCCCTCTCAGACCTACACACAGGAATAAGGTTGTAGACCTAGCAAAAACCAAAACCAGAACAGAGCCCAAGGTTAAATATGTGTATCAGATAAAGAAGAAATACTTCTTTTGACATAAGTATGTTTTAAATATTGCATAGGGCACAATTATACCAAAATATGTATGTATACATATGCATGACAATATGCATATGTATTTGTATGTGTAAACACGTATCTTGATGAAAGTATATATCCATTATCTAGACATATACAAATAAACATGTGCACATGTGTGAGTACATGTACATACTTAAAATACATATGTGAAAGAGAAAAATATGAGAAAATGAAAACATGGAAATAAAGTGTTTGTAAATGGGGAGGTGAGGAGGGGGTGAAGGGAGGGCAGGGACAAGGGGAAAAAATGAGAACCAAGACCTGTCATGTAAAGGTACAAGACCCCAATGATGAATGTAACTGTACTGTATACCTAAAATGTACCAATAAACTCAATAAAAAGAAAAAAATTATTAAAAATACATATGTGACCACTAATACTCTGATTAATCTGTTAAATTTAAATTGCAGATGAATAATGAATGCTTTATAAGTTTAAAAATATTTCAAATTTTATGGGGGATCTATTTATACTAAAAGTAATCCCCTATTTCTTTGAAATTAAGATTTAACCAGAGTCCTGCATTTCTTCTGTGAGCATCTCACTGGAAGGACTGGTTGTTCCCTGCTGGCTGAGGAGTGGGACGGATGTCCACTGACTGCTGGGCAAGGAGTTTGCTCTGAGCCTCCAACAAAAACACAGACAGGGTACAATTATCCCCTTCTACCTCTCCTCAAGGGTTGTATGATGAGAAATCGTACATGAAGTCTAACTTTGTGCATACCTTTTTTGCATATTTCCAAAGCAAGTGAACAGTTCATCTTTTTTTCTCTAGTTCCTCATTTCTAAATATCAAAGTGACTGAATGTGGGGGGAAAAGAAACAGAAAGGGCAGAAACTCTTCAGAGGGTCTCTGATTATATCCTAA